TTAGTTTAGCAGAAGAGCCAGAGAGCAGGTGTCTTTCCCTGCGGAATTGAAGATTCTCTCCAGTGTGAGCCAGAGCTCCACCCTCCACCCCCAGAAGGAGGCCCCTCCAGGAAGACTTGAATTCCTCCTCCTCAGTTAAGGCTGGGTAGCCATCCTGTCACTGTCATCGCCTTCGGGCTCCACCCACTCCCCCCCCACTAAATGTAAAAGAAAATATTTCTTCTAAATGGTGAATTCAAATTAGCTCAATTTTGAGAGACTATTGAGAATGTTGCAATGACCTTTGCAATAACCGGACACACCCTGGGATCAGTAAACCAGGGTTGAGAATTGTTGATTTTATGAGCACCTGACTTGTAAAACAAAAGCCCAGTTTGGGGCTCTGCCTGGGACCCATTCTCACATCAGGCGAGAGGCAACACAGCCCAGAAGGACCTGGTTCTGCCTCTCCTGTGTCATCTTGGGTAAGCCACTGTCCCTCTCTGGGCCTCAGCCTCCCCGTCTGTATAGTGAGGATGATGGCTGCTCTGTGACCTCTGGGGCTCCTACTGGCCCTGATGCTCCGTCTTACCACCTGCCTCCTTTAAAACAAAACCCAAAAGGGAGTGGAAGGCAGAATGGGAAAGGGAAGAGAACTGGTTCAGAAGGCCAGGTTACCATAAACCTTCCCCCGTTTCTTCCTGCTGAAAATGCCTTTATTCATTCTGCAGGAAGATTCCCATTTTTTGCTGCGTTATTGCTTTTTATACTTCGTTTTCTTTCTCTCTCTTTTTTAAACTCAAAAGCCACAAAACCACAAGTCACCTCCCCCAAACGGGTCATTTGGAAGCCAGCGCTATCAGGGGTTAGGTGTGTCAGGCCTGGCATACTGGTGGTATCTAAGTGAAGACCAGACCAGGGCAACCATGGGCTTCTCCTCCAGAAACCCAGTTTAAATCAATATTTATCCAACTGTATTTATAGAAAGTGGTGGTGGTAGGGAAGAGGGGGTGGGGTAGGGAGGCAGGGGGATCTAAAACAGAACAAGCCACAATGACTGATGCAAATCTTTGTGGCCAATTCATTTCTGCAGGGCCAGGCTTTTTTTTAAAAGGCAAAAGACCCAGCTTTTGGTGAACCTGCTGTTGGCCCTAGTACCATAGCAACAGCCCCAAGTCCTCTAATATGTCCAGAGGACAGACTTGGGAAAGGCAGTAGGAGGCGGGTAGTGTTTCCTAGGAGCCTAAACTTGAGTTAGGGCCAGCAGAGTTGAACAACTCTGAAAAACAAAAACAAAATCTCTCTGGTTGGCTCTCCTGTCTCCAGCTTCACTTCTAAACCTTTTCTAAGCAGAGTGTGTGCAGAAAGACCCTGGACAATCAACAGGGTGTTACAAACACCCACTCTGCTTCAGATTATTGGGTGACCTTGAGCAAGTCATTTCACCTCTCTGGACTTCATTCCTCGGCTGGAAAATGCATACACCTATATATGGTTAAAACTGCAGGCTCAGTCGAATCAGAGGCCTAGGTTCAAAACTCAGCTCTGCCATTATTAACCCTGTGACCTTTGGGCAAGTTACTCAGCTCCCTGTTCCCCGGTTACCCCCTCTGTCAAATGGGGGTAATAGAAGTGCATATGCCATGGGGCTGTTGTGAAGATTGGAGGAGATAACGCATGTTTAGCCCCATTCTTTACCAAGTATAGTCAGTACTCCATAAATAGTTACCAGTGTTGACATTATACAATGCAATTAGTTGCTGCTGCCGCCGCATGCCGGCACCCTCTTCATTTCTTTCAGTTCTACCCCCAGACTTCTGCCAGCCATCCTCAGATGAAAACCCCCATTTCTAGGTGCAAACCCCCATTTCTAGGTGCATCAGTGGGACAGTGTTTTGGTCAGAGAGGGCAGGTAGGTGAGCAGCTGTTGTTTTGCATTGGATCTGATAGAGCTTCCCCCCGCCCCCACCTCCCAAACCAGGAATGGCTCAATTCAGCTTCTCTAACTTCCCAAGGTCCGGATGCTTTTCCTGGGTTCCCTCCACAGGTTACCCAGTCCCTGGGAGATCTGGGACTCTGAAAGCCACAACAGTATCCTCAAAAGTCTATTTCTGGCATTTACCTATGGGCAGAGATAATATTTAAAACTGGAAAAAAAGTTGAATCTGAGGAACATAATTTAGGATGCAGAGGAAACAGAAGCCTGATTTAATAATGCTCTTTACATAACTCCACCAAAAACAAGTACATTACTCCACTCCCATCATAAATCAGAAAAAAAAGCAATTGCACATAGTACATGCTCAATACATATTTGTGGAATGAATGAATGAATGAATCGTAAGATGCCTGCTGTACAGAAATGTGGCCTAGGTGAACGTTAGTTGCCACCAAAGCCCTCAATTTTAGCATAAATTGCACTGGTTTCCTGCTCTCTAAACCAATAACTGATCCATCTGTAGGGTCACAGCTGATGTAGTTTCAGCTCTCTAGGCCTGACCTACCATCTCCTTATAAGCCCTGGTCTTTACAGCCCAAGGGCATTCTGCATTGATAATGGGAGACATCCTCCCTCCTTGGAAGAGATCAGTATTTCCAATTCTCCAAGTCTTCAGAAAGTCTGTCATGTGTCCCCTGGCCTTCAGACCTGATCACTGTGCCATAGCCAGTAAATGACAAATCCAACCAATCAAAGGATGTATATTGTCTACTGTATGCCCAGTGTTATGCAACAGTGACATATACTGAAATACTGTAAGTGACCTTTTCCCTTAAGATGCTAATCTTCTCCCTGTGAGGATAAAGCTAATGCACAGCCAGCAAGTAGAGAATTGCTGATTATCAAGGCTCAAAGAAGTGACTATTTATTGAGCACCTACTACATTCCAGGTACTTTAAATGGAGAACCTCAGTTAGTTGTTCAGCAATGGCAGGAGGCCGATGCTATTGTTATCCTTGTTTTACAAAAAAGAAATGAAACCTCAGAAAGGTTAGGTAACTTGTGCCCAAGGTCACACAGCCAGTAAGCAGTGAAGGGGGGATTTGGGCCCTGCTCTGGGTGACTGTAAAGCTTTCATTCTCTCAACTACCCTGACTTAAGAAATATCCAGGGGAGGTTTCCTGGAGGAGGTGGGAACTGACCTAGGACTTGAAGAGTAGGTAAGACACAGATAACCCCAGGGGAGTAAGAGAATGAGGGCATTTTAGACAGAGGGAAGAGTCTAAGTCAAGCATAGACGCATGACTGTAAAGCCTGCTTGCTGGTGGACCTGCTGGATGGGAGCAGAGGAGATTAAGTCAGGAAGGCAGGGTAGGGCCAAATGACACCACACAGCAGCAGCTTCCTCTATCTGGAGGAAGAGGCTGCTCTTTGGCCTGTCCATGCCCTTAGGAAAGCACCTCACCCTCAAACCCAGGTAATGCACTCCAGAGACCCACCCATGGCTTCTACTCCCATTTAATCATTCTTTTCTATCTTAAGCATTGCCCCAAAGCCACCTTCCCTACAGACTGGGAAGCCCTTTTCTGTCCTGTAGACCTTACCGGTTATAGTAACTTCCACCTGCCTGCTGAACAACTTCTATGCACAGAACACCCTTTTGTGAATTTCCTTCTTATTCCCTTTCATGTTTAACCTTTTCCAAAACAGGAAGTACATATTTTCTCTGCTAATCAGTCAGTCCTAAATTACTATCCCTCCACTGGACCCCAAATGGATGTGGGTGATATGTCAGAGGTTATTTATGTATAATTTCTGAATTTGTGAAAACAGGGTCACAGTATCCATGATTAATATTTCTGGAGGCCTTTAATTTGAGATTCTCAGGGATTCACATCAGTTGGAACTTTGGGAGAATGTACCAGCATATCCTAAGCAATCCTTGCCTTGCACAGAGCAGTCAATACTGAGTGACTTAATTTGAACACCCCAAGAAAACTCATTATATATACTGAGAATAATTCAGTACTGTGTACACTCAGTGAGCTCTCCTAGTACGGAAACCTCAAAGAAGCCATGAAAAGCAGTTCTGGTGACAACGGAAAATAAGGCAAGCTCCTGCCAAGTAAATACTCTGCAAACGGTAAAAGCGGAACGTGTAAACTCGTGACCAGGGCCTTATCGGTGCATTTCGCGAATGTCTCACAGAACCCGAAATGGAGAATTGAGGCTCAACACCCGGGTGAAGAGCGTCCCTTTAAGAAGGGACTGTACCAGCTGGCCACACTAGAGCTCCCCGTGATTTTCTGGCTTGCCTCCTGGCTCCACCCCCCAGTCTCTGGCCTCAGCAACGCGTGACGTTAGAGGAAGCTGAAGCTGCCGATTGGCTGAGCGACGCTGCTAGGTCAAGTCCAGTCAGAGGAAAGAAGTTTGTCTCCATGTGGAAACCATGTGTCTCTAGCTGGGAGGGGGAAGAGGAGGAGGCGGAGAAACTGAGATCAAGTGATTACAGGAGAACTGGCTGAAATGAAAGCGGGGAGATTGTGCACCTGAGCCGGCCAGTAATGCCCTTTGCAGTAGTGACCTAAGAAAACAAACACACAAAAAAACCTTGCCCAACTAACAAAACTTGAGCCCCCCCGGCCCAATCATAAAAATAATTAAAAAGCTAGGGTCCTTGCTTCCTTCCAAAAACCAGGGACCTGAGACACGCTGTAATCCTATCGGAACGCCTAGATTCCCCTCCCTCCCCCAACGACTGAATGATGTAAGCGTTTCGGAAAGCGGGGCTCTGAAGCAAAACAAGTCCTGCGCGCGCGGAGGGACCCTCAGTGCCCGAACCCGACGCACGCACGACCCGCCCCCCGACTCGCATTATTGCTGTGCACACGCGGACCGCCGTGACGCGCGGGCATTGTGTGCAACGAGCAGAAAACAACGGCGAGCGCCGCCAGCGCGAAGAAGCACCCCTAATAAAATGAGGCAGATGTAGGGCCCGCTGTTTTCCGTACTAGGAGACCGAGATGGGCGGGAGGCGGGGCAAGAGTGGGGAAAATAAAGTGGCCTCCGTGGGCCGCTCCAATTTTAAGGGGAGATAATAGAGGGCCCTGCGGATGGTCGCCCCATAGTTTGCTGGAGATCACCCTCGCCTGCGTGAGCTGTTGGGGAGGGGGCAAGGGCCTCGAGCGGAGTTCCCGCTCTCGGGGAAATCTGGGGGCCGCTGGCATCACGTCATGCTGAGCCAAACAGCGGCTGCGAAAAGAGGCAAGAGAGCTAAAAATACTCCCGCGGGGAGCCGGCCGAAGGAGGGGGGCAGCGGGGCCGAGGGGCTGATTACGCACACGAAGTTGACTTCGATTGGGGCGCCCAGGTTCCCGAGCCCCTCTCGGGGTCTTGCAGCGCGGACACCTCGGGAAAGGGACCAGGAGGAAGCCCCTTGGCTTCCACGGTCTCGGGAGCCTGGCTCCGCTGCCGCTGGCCCGCCCGGTGCGGGGCAGCCCGGCCCAGCGCGCCCGGCCCTCTGCTTACGTGACTGGTGGCCACGCCAGAGCCCCGGCACCGGTAAACAAGGAGGTGGCGGCGGCCGAGGCGGCCGGGTGAGCGAGAGTGGGGGCGGCGAGGTGGGGAGCAGAGGTCTCCGATTGTCTGCGAGTGCGAGGGGCGGGGGGCGAGGGATGCGGTGGAAGCTCCAGCAGCCTGTTTAGTACACCCTTCTGTAGAGGGGGGCGGAGGGGGCCAACCAGGTTTGCCACACACTGCCAAGGTGCCCTCTTTGGGTGCACCCCCGGCCAGAGCTGGCGCCACGGGACAGACTCAGGGGAACAGGGCACCCGGGCGGGGGATAGCGTAAGAAATCACGCCCCTCCCCCTTCCAACAAAAGCGAACTCACCAAACAAAACCACGTCTTCCCCCACCTCCCCACCAGCTCTGGCTTTTCAGAAACTACCCTATTGACGAATGCACACTGCCCCCCCCCAAAACCCCGTGAATAATCGCAAACATTCAGGTACACGGCCGACGATGCGCCTTTCTCGCAACCCAGGCACTCCGAGAAAACAGGAGAGAAGAAAAGAACGCACCACCGACCACGCTACACAAATCCTTGTTTTTGCCTTAAGCTACTGCACGATTTCGCTGCCATCACACGGTTACTTTAACCCCGAAGGCCTGGGGTGTCGGTCAGCTAAGGTGTTTTTGTGTTTGAGGGTTGTTGTTGTGTTTGGGGGAGGGGGGAGTAGGTTGCAAGATCTGACACGTTGCAATCGGACCCTTTCTTTTCTTCCTTTCTTCCTTCCTTTCTTTCTTTCTTTCTTCCTTCCTTTCTTTCTCTCTCTCTCTCCTCCTCTCTCTCTCTCTCTCATCTCATTGATCTTCCTACTTGTTCGGACAGATTAAACAGCCTGCTTTTCTCTACTCTGTCGGTCTATATTCCTCGGCCCCTTCGCCCTTCTCGCAGCTATTATTTGTGAGGACCGTGCTGGAAACGCCGCACACGAGTGCCCCCGTTAACGGCGCTGAGCGACTGCCTGGGGAGGATGGGGGAACCCAGTTGGCAGAGGCAAAAATGAAACAAACAAATACAAAAAGGAGGCCAGGCCGGGGTGGGGCTCCCAGCACCACCACCCCCAAGCATCGCTCTCCACCTGAATCTGGGGTGGGGGGGGAACAGCAGAAATCCACGAGGAAGGCATTTGCCTTCCTCGCCCAGGGCGCTCACTCGGGAGCCGTATCGCGGAAAATAAAAAAAACCGAACATAACAGTCTACAGCTTCTTCCATAACTATTGTTTCCTGCGAGATCCCAAAGTTTCCTTCTGGCTGCGTCCCCCTCGCCAAGTTTCCCGGGCGCAGGACAGCGAGTCCGGGGCGAGCTGCTGGCGGCGCTTGGCTTTGCCGGCCTGTTTCTTTCGGGGTGGGGGGGGGGAGGCGGTGAGGAAACCACAGGGCACCAGAGGCGCAGGAGGACTGTATCCGTGGACGCGATGGCCTGAGCCCAGCCTTGCTGCGAGAGGAGAGGAAAAAGCAAAGTAGACCGGAGGGAGAAGAAGAGCCGAGCCAGCCCGAGCCCACACCGTGGAGGGCTGTTTGGTTGTTGGTGTTATCGTTGTCGTGTATGTCTGTGTGTTTTCTTTCTGCAACCGCTAAGCTCTGCCTACAGTTTCCAACTTTCGGCTTCTAATCCCCACCCCACCCAGGAACGAGCGACAGAAAAACAACACTTGTCTGCCCGAGAAGGCTCCGGAAAAAAAAAAAAAAAAAGGAAGAAAGGCGACCTCGAAGAGATGAGCTCTCGGCTCAGTTGTCAGCAAACAACAACACTCCCCCGCTCCTCGGCCCAGCGGTCCTGCCAGCCTCTGGAAGACGGACAGACGGACGCACCGACAGGCCCCCCCCTTCCCCCCGCTCGTCTTTGTTACATCTTTAGCAGCTTTGTGCGTGCGTGTCCTTTCTCCGGTGTCATCGGCTTTACTGCCGAGGGCTGGATGTGTGTGTGTTGGGGGAGGGGGGTCAAGCAGGCGACAGGGGTCGCCCAAATGGGCGAGGAAGAAAGAGCCGGGCGCCGAGGAGGAGCCAGCGCCCCCAAACTTACTTTTGTTTTCTTTCTCGATCTGCTCCAGGTAGCTGGCGGCCTCGAGCAGAATCTGCACGTTCTGCAGAAAAGTGTTGATGTGCTTCTCCATCGAGTTCTCGCTGGTGTTGAAAATGTCCGAGAAGGGGCACCTGAGCTTGGCCCCCGCGAGCTCCTCTGGCTGGGCCGGGGGCTCGGGCGCGGTCACGGCCGGGGGCGCGGCGGGGGCCAGCCCCGCACCCTCGCAGCGCGCCTCCTTACGCGGCCGCCCGCGTTTGCCCATGGAGGAACCGGGGTCCGCCGAGCTCGTCCTGTTTTGGGGCGGCGCGGCCCGGCCAAGCTCCGGGCCCCAGGGGAGAACCGGCTGGCTGGAGCGAAGAAGGCGCCGAGGCGAGGAGGCGACCTGACTTCCCGAGCCTCGCTCCGTGCAGTTGTGTGTCTGAGTGTGAGTGTGTGTCCGTCTCGCAGTGGGTCTGTGTGTATGGGAGATTGAATGAACCTACAGGACAGACGGAGGCGCTCTGGCGCCTGGGTCCTAGTGCGAGCCGGTCGCCATCAGACCGGTCAAAATAAAAGGTGGAGACAAGCGAGGCAGGGACCGCCCCCTGCCCGTCCCCGCACACTCCCCGACTCTATCCAATCTTACCACATTGTAGAGCGTAGGATTTAAACACGAATGGAAAAAAATACTCGAAGGCTGTGAGCGCACCGGCATAAAAACAAACTACTTAGCTATCTTTTTCTTCACATAAGAGTAATACCGATGCCTGGCACATAGTAGGTTTCCAACAAATGGGGGCTGCTATGACTTAAAAAATAAAAGCCCAATCCAAGATATCGTCACATGTGACCTCAAGTTCTCTTCCCCCAATGCACGCACACTCACTCACTCACAGACGCACGGGCATCTACCTCCACGGGGCCAAATGAAATCCCCAGGCCACCAAATCCCAGTTACAGATCTACTCACTCTTTCTTTCTCCCTTCGAATGCAAAGTTATTTTCCAGGAAGAGGGAGGAGGTGTAAGCATCTCTCCCCACACTCCTCTTCCCAGCCATGGTCCAGCTGTGCAAAGCTCACGGTAGGGTGCCTCCACACCTGGCTCTCTTTTATTTGACAGAAAGGCAGAAGTGGCAGCCCAGGAACCTCCCACCCCTACCCCAGCTGAATTCCACCTTTTGGTTCTGAAGACCCCTGTCCCAGTTGACATTGTTTCACTGCTACTGCAGACCCAGTGAGAGTCTGCAGGAACCATGGATGCTCTCCAGGCCCGGGAAGGATGGTGGGAGTCAGGGCCCTTTGGGAGTGCCATAGAGAAGGATTCAAGTCCCAGCTCTGCTGCATACAGACTGCGTGTGTGCCTGGGTGAGTCCTATAACTGCCCTTGGCCTAAGTTTCCCCATCCACGAAACCTCTGATAAGATTCATGTGCTGATTAAATTATATCTGCACTTAGTACACTGCCTGGCCCATAGTAAGAGCTTTTGCTTCCAGTATAGACCCAGACAAGAGCCTGAGTCCCCTACCTGCAGCTAAGGGGGGAAATAAGTTGCAAGAAACAAGACTCTTCTGCACTTTGTTGGAAAACATATCTGCAATAAGCCCACCTAAGTATTGTCAACTTGTGAGGTCACCTGGAGTTTTCCTCCAGGAAAACCGTTTACTTAGAAGACACAGTGAATGCTGCCCCCTGGAGTTGTGCAACCCAGCCACCCTGCTTAGAGTCAGCTTCACACACATTTGTCAGGAAGACTTTTCCTGGAAATGGAAACTTTTTGAAAAAATGAAAGTACATTTCTTTGTAAAAAACACTCACTATGTAAAACAGAATACACACACCCTCACCAAAGTCCTGTGTATTTGTAGTCTATAATAACCTGCTGCTGATATGACAGGAACAATCAGTATTTGGCATTTTAAAGCCAATATATTCACAGTTTGTATCATAATATAATCATACTACACATACTCTGCTCATTTTCCATCTTGATTGATCTCTGCATCCTTTGGCTAGGGTAGAGGAGAAGCTCCTAAAAGCTGTGAGATAAATTACTTGCATCATCAGAACAATTACTATTTGTTCTATTGGAATCACAATCTGAGTTACTCATGCTTAAAAGTCTATAAACGTCTAAGGACTTTAGGAAGTACAGTTTCAAACAAGTTTTAACCAATGCCATTTTGCAAAAACTGATCTCCCTTGCCCTAGATGAAAGATGATAGTGAGACGATGAACCACCTAAGCCCGGAGAAAACCTTGGTCTCTCTTTAATTCCCCGGTGGAGGCATGGGCCAAATGTGCACATATGCAGTACTGTGACCTGCATATATGTATATACACATGCACCAAGACAGGCACACCCCACACGTGAGTGCCAGGGTGGGGGTAGGGTGTTTTGTCATTATTAATTTATCCCTGTTTCATCTTTCATAGATCTGCAAGCTTCAGAAAGACCAGTGGGAATCTTCAAGCTGGGCCACGAATCTGACCAAAGCCAAAACAAACAATGGCTTGAAGAAAATCTCCAAAAATTGCTGATTTGCGCTATTCCCACAGTCAGCCACAGCCCCCGCCATCATTCCAATGGAAAACATCACTGCTGGTGCCAAATCAAGTCATCCCCCCCATCATAGGGGCATTGTTTTTTGTTGTTATGTGAGTTCTTAGCATCAGACAATGGCACCACAAGAGACACATTGGAAGCAGGAGAAATGCCTTTTTGTTTCACAAAGTCTATGCTATCGTGCCCCAGAGTGTCACATACAGTATAGTTGCATATATTCATTTTGGTAACGTGTCTGTGGAACGATGAATGTGCTAAAGCTCAAAGGTCCTTCCTTATTTTTTTCAGAGTCCATCAAGTGTTAAATCATGTTAGCATCCCTCCTCCCTCACCAACCCCCAATTAACAGATTTCTCTAATAAAGTTGGCCCCAACAGAAAGGGTGGTGTTTCAGAAGTTATATCCTGGGACAGGCATCCAAGATGCTGGGTTACAAGCTCAGCTCCATTCTTGATTACCTTTGCTTCCCAGGAGGAGCCATTCAAACCCTCTGCACCTCTTTCTCTGGGGCTTTGACTCCATAAATAAACAGGTCTCTTTGGAACCTTGCTGAGAATTTCTGCAGAGAACAGGTAGGGGATGAGAAGGCGACCAGCCTGATAAGAACATGTGAACTCTTTGAAAGGAAAGCAGTGAATTTTTGCAGTGCCTGGCCAGGCCAGCCATGATGCTCCCAAGGGCCCTAGGTGTCTTGGGTGCCCACTCAGTCTGGTCTCATTTTCTCAACCTTCTGTTTCTTTGTTTGGCCTGTTTGCCTGTTTGGTAATATTTTTCCATCAATCTTGTTTCCATATTAAAGCAAAATCACTCTTTCTTTCTTTTGTCCCTCTTTTCCCCCAGACTACACTACACCCTTACATCAAAGGAGTTGTTTTGCCTGTAATTACGTCTTCAGGTACACAAGCTGGTTAATTACTGAGGCTATGATATGAGTTGCCCCCAGACCTCCCCATCCTGCATTTGTATGGGATGCCCTTCCCCTTCCTGGACCACTTTGGCTCTCCTGGGCTCCTTAGCCTTGCCCTTCCTCCTTACCTGTGCTCCCCTCACTAGCCCTTTCTGCCTAAGTCTACCCTCCAACATCTCGCTTTTCCTCGGACCTTGTCAGCACAAATCCGTCAGGTTCTCCTCCGCTCTTTGACCTGTGGTCTTTGCACTCAGGCTTGGTAAACACCATCAAGACATCTTCTGTCCCCTGCATTGTCACTTGAGTCTTAATCCTCAGAGTTTTCCTAGACAAATTTTTCCTGGGCATCTTTCCCTTCGGAAAGGCATTGTCCAGCAATGATCTGAGGAGCTGGCTTGGGGCTCCTTCTCTCCTTGGGAGCCATTATCTTGCCTTCATGTTTTAGAAGAAAGAAGTGGCTTCAAGGAAAACCCAGGAGTTGGTGGTTAGGGACTGGTGAGGCACAAGCAGAATGGCAGGAACTAGGAGAACTGCGGGACTCTGCCTCTCCCGCTGGCTCCTGCACAGGCTTAAAAGTGCTGACCAGGTCTCCTTCAACCACTCCCCATGCCCCCACCCCCAACCCCACACTCACCAGCGGGTGCAGACATGGGCAGAGGATAAAGAGCCTCCGCCCTACATGGGAGCTCACCCAGACGTCACCTGCTCCTGGGCATTATCTCTGATCCTCTGGACTCTGCCCTTCTCCTGGACCTCTGAGGTTGGCAGGCCCTTCCTGTCTCAGCCAGCTCCTGCGCTTCTCCTATGCAATGCCCAGTACTTACAGGGTTCATTAGACTATGAGCTCCTCGAGGGCAGGGAGCACGCCTCGCTTCCCCAGC